TCAGATAGACATACAATCACCCTAATTCTAGTCAAAAAGTGACTTCCCTACTATACAAAAGTGGAAATGAGATTTTGATAAGAGAAGTTGAAAGATTTCACGAGTTCGCCGACAAAATTTGAAAAATAGTAAATAAATAAATAAATAAAAAAGGTGAATAATAAAATTAATATAACTCTACTTATATAAATTTAATTATATATCAAACACAGCTTTAATAAATGAATTTATTTCGGGAGTCAAAAACAATTTTCAATTAAATCTTGAGAAACTTCAGAGAAAGGTGGTCTCAAATCCATGATTCTGCTACATTTTGTATTGTATATATAAATACAAACGAACAAACAAACAAAAGAAAGAACGAACAAACGAACAAACATACAAACAAACATACAAACAAACATACAAAAACCATGCAGGCAATACAAACATTTTTTTACACTTGACAACACACCTTTATAGACACTGAAAAATTTGGTGCACTTTAGGCACCTATGCAGATGTCACACACACACACACACACACACACGCACGCACACAACTATTCCAAATACACACACACACAACACACACACACACAAACACATTGTATGCTTGATCCTAAATGCTAACTTGACCATAGTTCTAAATAATCTCCTATCTATTTTATCATTATTTCGCAAGGAGCTAAAATATTATAAATTGTATTGCATAAGTTTGTTTTTGTGTAGTTTGTTATTGTGTTCATGTTTATGTGTTTTTGTGTGCGTTTGTGTATGTGTATGTGTGTATGTGTTTGTGTTTGCGTGTGTGCGCACGCCTGTGAATCAATACAGTTGAAGAAATACAAAATCAAAAGTTTAAAAGTAAAATTGCAAAAAAAATACTTCGAATTTAAAATAATTAAGCGCTAAAATTATTAAGAAGGTACTTGAGGTGCATTTGAACCCGTGATTAACGCGTCGCTGAAGTGACCAGTTGAGATATTAATTTGGAAGCTCTATGACTATTGAAATTGAAAAAAAAGGTTCTCTGTGGAATAATAAGAGGGATCATCATCATCATCATCGTCGTCGTTGTCGTCATCAGCATCAACATCAACAACATCATCATCATCCTCATCAACAATACCACCATCATCATCTTATTTTAGATTTGTTCTCTACAGCAAGTATATGATACAAGAAACAATCTAAATTTATTGGAATGTGTAAGAGAGATATATATATTAAAATATCTATATTATAATATTAAAATATTATTATAATATTAAAATATTATTATAATATATGTTAAATTATCTCATATATATATATATATATATATATATATATATATATATATATATATATACATAAAAAAAACAAATTTTTATAAACTAAAAAATCTGACACGCACACACACGCGCACACACATGCACACACAAACAAACACACACACTCACACACACACAAACAAACAAACAAACACAAACACACACACACATGTATTCATGCAAGTTGTATGAAAACTGCATTACCAGTAGTTTTTTGCTCATCTTTTTAACATCACCTGGATGCAATATATTGCATAAACTACAATATCTGTGTACGTGTATGTATGTATGTATGTATGTATGTATGTATGTATGTATGTATGTATGTATGTATGTATGTATGTATGTATGTATGTATGTATGTATGTATGTATGAATGTATGTATGTATGTATGTATGTATGAATGAATGTATTTTCATATGTGTTCATACATTTGTATGCATACACACAAACTTAGCTGTGTTCGCGAGTATGTACAACTCACGTAAATGAAAATGTTTATTAAAAAAGTAAACAATAATAATCTTAATTAATTAATAATTATAACTATAATTACATAATAATAATAAAATAATAATTGTATTGTACGTATGTATTTATACAATGTTTAGAACTAAACAGACATTGTATACAAATGAACTATAGAGTTTAGTGGATGTTTGTATGTATTTTAAGTTCGTTCAACATATTTTCTTCTGATGTTCATTTGATATTATTTGAAAGTTTCAACCTTGTAATTTTTCTAGTTTTTGTAAAATTGTTTTTTTTTAAATTTGTAAAATGTAAAACATACAAACACACACACAAACACACATACACACACATAAATACACACACACACACACACACACACACACACACACACACACATACATACATACATACATACTTAATAGCGAAAACATCCAACTGAACATTATTCAATATGTTACGATCAATATTGTTATCATTAATCGTATTTCAATAAGTGTATGCATGTATAATGTACATACAAGTAAAAAAAACTTTATGAAATACAAACATAGATTGTGTATACACTACATACAAAAACAATTAAACACATAAACAATGAAACTAAATAAAGAAATGCGTGCATAATCAAATAAATAAGTACACACACACAAACATACACTCACATACACACACACAAACACACATACACACACAAACACACATACACACACATACACACACTCACATACACACACACACAAACACACACACTCACATACACACACACAAACACACATAAATTTAACATTCTTTTTCCACAGCCTAAGTTTTCATAAGGTTTAATGATGATCAACAAGATGTTATTTCTTCGTACATTCATCATTATTATCATCTGCACCAGAAACATTGTAGTCGGTAAGTTTTGTTGTGTATGTTTGTGGTTGTATGTTTGTTTAGGCTGGTATGTTTGTATGTATTAATATGTTTGTTTATGTTAAATTGTATGTTTGTGTTTTTTTATGCTGGTTTACGTGTTTATATGTATGTTTGTATAAATGATTGTATGCTTACGTATGTGTTTGTACGTTGATTTAATTGTTTGCTTGTTGAGATATGTGTTAATTTATTGATATGTCTGTGTTTAGTATAAATTTTGTAGTATATATTTTTAGTATATATCGGTACATCGTACATACACACACACTCAAATACACAAACACACACGACACACAAACACACACGACACACAAACACACACGACACACACACTCACACCACACACTCTACCGGACAACCATCACACACAAACACAGACCAGGAACACTCCACACACACACACACCATAAACCAGCCACAAACCAGCCACCCGCCACAAACTTCACAACAGAAGCAGGAAGCCACGAAGACCGCCTCATCAACGACATCTTCAACACGCGCGGCTACTCGCCGATAGCCCGACCGGTCGTCAATGAATCCGACAAAGTCGATGTTGAATACATGGTCACTCTGCAGTCCATCATCAATCTGGTTATTTTTGGCGCGAAACTTTCAATGGCGGGAAATTTTAATGGTGTTGGCGGGAAACTTATTTCCGTTCTTTACTAAAGATATTGTGTTTTTTTTATTAATTTTTTCCTGCTATGATTTAGCGGTGCTAACTTGGTTCGAAGTATATTTTATGGGGATGTTTTTATGAAATTTTGAGATATATTCCGATGAATTTTGGTTAATCTGAGTGGTGGATTACGGCAAACTATATTTTTGGTAATCTTAACAGAAAATAAAAATATAATTCAAAATAGGTTTTCGTAGTTTCAAAAAAATTTTTGGTTCATTTTTTAGCGGAATTATGATAAAACCCTTGGATGATAATTATAGTTAAGATAGCAACGTTTTCGTTGTGTATTTTTTGGTTCATTTTTAGCGGAATTATGATAAAATCCTTAGATGATAATTAAAGTTGAGATAGCAAAAATGAAATAACTTTTTTTCTGATAGCGATTGTGATTCTGATTGTTTTTATGATAATATAACAGGAAGATTATTTTAACTAATCATATTAATTAATTAATTAATTTGTCAATTAACAAAGTTCAAGTTGAAAATTACATTTTGGTATTCATGTAGGATGAAAAACAGGAGATGCTCATAACTCGACTTTGGTTTGAATACGTTAGTAGCATGAATCCATAAATAATAATTATATTTATAATAATAATAATATGAAATGATGATGATGATAATAATAATAATAGTTAATATTGTTAGTAGTAGTAGTAGTATTGGTGTTATTGTTATCAAATTATCAATAAAACGACATTTTTTAGGCACTTGAATGTTTTTTAAAAATGGAATTTTTCACATTAGCATCGGCATCTTTTTCTACAAATTTAAAAGTTTCACTGCTATCCTAAACGGCTAAATTCAACTTCATATCAACATTTTGGTGAAACTTCGACCTTTGGTGAACACTATGACCTTTCGTAAAATCTTCGACTTTGGTGAACCCTATGACCTATGGTGAAACCTTCGACCTTTGGTAAACCCTATGACCTTTGGTGAAATCTTTGACCTTTGGTATTACTTTGACCTTTGGGGAAATCTTGACTCCTCTGACCTCCATAGGTATGGGTCGACCCAAAGCTGGCATGGAATCCCCACGAATACGGTGGTTTAGAGAGCATTCGATTGGCTTGGGACAAAGTTTGGACCCCGGATATTTTGCTCTATAACAGGTTTTTTTGTTACCATTTAAAACGTTCTTGATTTACCGAAAATTATGAGACGTTTGGAGCATGTATTTATTTGTTTACCCTTTCATGAAATAGATAATATAATATTAAATTTTATGGAATTAATCATTATATATTCAACCAATCATAACACACTTCCGTTATCTCCATCAATCATTTAATCATTTTATCAACCAGGAAAAAACATCTATAAATCCAGTCAAAAAATTCTTCATGACTTTTCAACCAATCAAAAATTTTAACAACAAATTCACTCAAATTAATCCAATCGTCTCTCAACCAATCGAATCACTTGAAATAAAACAAATTCACCCAATCCAACCAATCCAACCACCCCAAACCAATCAAATCACTCGAAATAAAACAAATTCATCCAGTCAAAGCAACCCAACCACCTCAACCAATCAAATCATTCGAAATAAAACAAATTCATCCAGTCAAAGCAACCAAACCAATCAAATCACTCGAAATAAAACAAATTCATCCAGTCAAAGCAACCAAATCAATCAAATCACTCGAAATAAAACAAATTCATCCAGTCAAAACAACCAAACCAATCAAATCACTCGAAATTACAACACCGCCTCTCAGCGCCTCTCCTGCCATCGACACAAAATACCCAGTAAACATCATCGTGAGTAACAGCGGATCGTGCAAATGGATGCCGTTAGGAATCTATACTTCTTCCTGTGCCATTGATATCCAGTGGTTTCCATTCGACGACCAGAAGTGTAAGTTGAAATTCGGCAGCTGGACCTACCACGGTAATCTACTGAACCTCATGCAGAAGAATGGGACCAGTGGGATGAATACGGAGCTGTTCCAGGAAAATGGAGAGTGGGATCTGATAGGTGAAGATTTGTGTGGTTGTGGCAATGGTGGCGGCGACAGTAGTGGCGGTCGTGGTAGAAATCTTGGTGGTTGTAGTGGCAGGCAAAGCAAGGTGATGTGGTGATGAAATAAGTCCGTAAGGTCATACAATGGAATGGTGGAAAAGTGATGATGATCTGGATGATGATGTAATGATAAATTTGGTGGTTGTAACACGAGATGTAACGATGTTGATAGCTATTATATAATAATAAGGGTAATAAAAATGCTATGTGTATGTGCAAACGTAAATTAATAAAATCTGCATTATAAATATAAATTAGAACGTATTCATATCAAATTTCGTTAAATAAACAGAAAAATGTGTCAGATAAAAAAGAAAAAGTTAAATTTTCAACAAATTTAACTTAAATTTCGACTAATTTTTGACTTTTCAATAAAATTAAATTTAAATTTAGTTTTTGAAATTTTTAGAAAAATTAATTGCTTTATTTAGACGCTCCGGCGAACAGAACCGTTTTATGGTATTCTTGTTGTCCCGACCCCTATATAGATATAACCTATTATCTTCATATAAGAAGAAGAGCCCTGTATTATGGTTGGTTGGCTGGCTGGCTGGCCGATTGATTAATTGGTTGATTGGCTGGTTGATTGATTAACTGGTTGTTTGGTTCGTTGGCTGATTGACTGATTAATTAGTTGGTTGTTTGGCTGGTTGATTTATGGAATATCTACCTTGATTAGTTGATTGGTTGATTTGTGGATTTTAGGATCTATTGAATGATTGATTATATTTGAATAATCATAGTTGGATGGTTGATTGAATGGATGGTTGGTAAATTAGTAAGTTGGTTGGTTGGCGGTTTGCTTGGCTCCTGTAATAATTGACTAGTTGTTAAAATGGTGCTAGTAAAATAATAAACATTAATTAACTAATTAATTAATTAATACAATATTTAAATAATATTAAATAACTGATAATGATAATAAAAATTTATTTATTTTTTTAATTAATTCAAACACAAAACAGCATCCAATCTCATTATTCCATGTGCCTTGATATCAATATTAGCCATATTCACGTTTCTACTTCCTCCAGATACCAATGCGAAAATTTCGTTGGGTTTGTTTGTTTTTTCTTGTATTATTGTTTGCATGTTTGTTTGCTTGTTCGTTTGCATGTTTGTTTGTTGGCTTGCATGTTTGTAAGAAGGTTTGTATGTTAATCGAATTCTGTAAACTCATTGGACATGATTGACATTATATTTTATTTGTTTCATGGTTGAGTTTTCTTAGTTTGTTTGTATGTCTGTTTGAATGCGTTTTTGTTTGTTGTATGTTTGTATGTTTGTTTGTTTGTATGTTTCACTATCAGGCATCACGGTCCTACTTGCACTCACCGTGTTCCAGCTGATTGTTGCAGATATGGTGCCATCCACCTCCGTGTCCGTTCCTCTCATTGGTCGGTTGGTTTGCTTGGGGCGGGGCTAGTTTTAACGATTGCAATGAGTGAATGAATGAATGAATGGATGGATGAATGAATGATTGAATGAATGAATGAATTAATTAATTAAACCCTCAAACAGGAAAATACTTTGCTTTCCTAATGGTCATGTGCACCATCTCGCTGGGCATCACCATCGTCGTCATCAATTTCCACCACAGAAAACCAGACATGAGCATGATACCGGACTATGCAAGCATAAATTATTTGTTCATTTGTTTATTATTTATTTTTAAATTTAATTAGAAAATTATCAATATATATATATATTATTAAGATGAATAAATAAATGTTTAAAGATAATTAAGATAAAAAAGATAAAGAAACTAGCAATTTTTAAAATACGTAGTTGTTTTTGATGAGACTTTTAAGAAACAATTTTGCTAATTCAAAATTATTGAAATAATATACAAATTAATTATGACTATATTATACAATAATACTTGCAATAATTAATAATAATAATAATAATTAGCACTTATTAACACTAAACATTACAGTAGTAACATAATCCGTGTACTTTAAAATAACTCCTCAACACTTGACAGCCATCACCGAAATTCCACCCCACCTGCCCCACCCACACCCTCAGATCGACAAGTACGTGAACAACTACCTGGCATGGCTCGTCCGCCTCTCCAGACCCGGCAAACCCCCACGATCCCCATTCGCCAAGGATGAAATCGCACGAACCGTCAACCTCGACACGACCAAGTTCATGGTTCCATCCCTACCTCATCCGAACTCAGCAAACGCCAGATTCGCCACGTTTCTAACCATGCAAAACACCAGACTAACACCCAAATTTCCGTCTGTGAAAGATAAACCGGCAAACAGCCAGCCGGTTAAACAGCTATCGGAGCAAAGCAGCAAAGCCAAAGTGGAACTCTACAAACTAAAGCACGAGTTCGGGGCACTTCTATACGAGATGAAGTGCATCACGAACCACATCAAAGACATTGACGTGGAAGCTGATGAGATCAGTAAGTGGAAATTTGCAGCCATGGTGATCGACAGATGCAGCTTCATCATCTTCAGCATCTACCTCTTCATCTTTACGGTTAGCATCTTCTTCTCCAGTGAAAATTTGAGAAATTCCCTCGTCAACTGAGATGCATTTTTACTGATTTTTTTACCTTTGCTATCAATTTTGTCTGCTTGGTTTGCATAGATTTTTGTTGAGGTGGTCACGTAGGACCCTCACAAATGACATTATTATTATAATTTCTATTATTATGATGACGATTATTATTTTTATTATAATTATATAAAATTATTTAGGATTATTATCATTATTATTATTTCTATTAATATGATGACGATGATTATTATTATTATTATATAAAATTATATAGGATTATTATTATTTCTATTATGATGACGGACGATGATTATTATTATTATATAAAATTATTTGGGATTATTATTATTATTTCTATTAATATTATGACGATGTGTATTATTATTATATAAAATTATTTAGGATATATGTAGGATACCATGTTTGTGAGTTTGATAAGTGTACAGGTTGTATTCACGTACATGGATGTTCGCATATGTACCATAGATATATATATAATATCCATGCTATCCATTATATTACCATGATATCATCATGATATCCAATATATTATATCCATGCAACGAGCATTAAACAATTTTTTTAATAAATTATGAAAATTGAAATTTTTCTTCAATCGCCTAGTGAAATTTTAAGTTTTTAGGTACATAGCTCACTACGTAATTACGTATAATTACTTTAAAAAAGTTAATTTATTTAAATTTTATTTTATAAACCTGGTTTTAGTTATATTAATGAATACATTATTTAAAAACTAATTTTTTCAGCGGTTTTATTGAATAAAAACAGAAAAATTTTCAAGAATTTTTTTTAAAATAATATCTTAAATAAAAAAAATTATTCATTCCATAAATAAAAAATATTTTTTTGTTACAAAACTCTGTAAGGATTGGAGATAATGACTACGACTTTAACATACATCGTCGTCATCATCATCATCATCATCGTCATTATCATCATCATCATCATGCGATTATCATTATCATCATCATCATCATGCGATTATCATCATCACCATCATCATAGAAGTTTCTAAATAACCACGGCGACGATGATGAAGAAAGATTATGATGATAATAATAATTAATTAAAATTAAAATAATAATAATAATAATTATTATTATTATTAATAATATGATTATTATTATGGTTATTGTTGGGGGCTTTTATAATCACGTCGAAAGCTAGTTAAGCGTTAAGAAGACATGATAAGTTCAGATAAATAATAATAGTAATAACAACAATAATAAGAAAAAGAAGAAGAAAAAGAAGAAAAAGAAAAAGAAAAAGAAGAAGAAAAAGAAGAAAAAGAAAAAGAAGAAGAAAAAGAAGAAAGAAAATTCATTTTTATTTTCAGTTTACAGAACATAAAATATTGTCAAATTTGAAAAAATAAAAGTTAACGAAAATGTCATTAAATTAAAACTGGGTGGTAAAAAAATGTTAGGACGGATTATGGGTTAATTATAGATTGATGAAAAATAATAAGAATAATAATAAAAATTATTAAAAATACCATCATAATAAGTAAATATAAAAGAATAATAATAACAACAAAATAAAAACATATTAAATTATAATTATGAAAAGTAATTATACAAATTATACAAAACCAAATTATCGCCCAGTACCGCCACCAAAGATACTATACCTCTGTCCACTAACAAACCGAACGATATAAAGGGCAATCAGAGTACCGACAAGGTTAAACCCCAAATGGTCAAAGGTCAATCTGTGTCTGGTGGTTGCGGCGTTGTAGTACTGGCAGTAAGGGCACTGAAAGGAGCCACAGACCTGGCAGATGTGCAGCTGGAAGAGGGAGTAAGTGTTGTAGGCCGATAACTTCTGCATGCCTGTGTTTTTTGGCGGGAAGATTTTTTTCAGTTGAAATGTCGTTTGGTAATTTTTTTGTCGAAAATTTAAGAATAAATTTTAATATTGGAATGATAGTTTTATGAGAATAATAATTATAACTAGATTGTAATTACACGCACACACACACACAAACGCACACACGCACATGCATCACACACGTGGCATGTGATTAGGCGGGGATCTCTTGGCATTCGAACCCGGTCACAGCAACGGCTGAACCAGATACTCCAACCACTAAACCATCTCTCAACCCATCATAATGAAATAATGGTTATAATTTATAATTATAATTAATGATTATTAATCTAGCTGGTCTAGTCGTCTCGTCTAACAGGTCTAACTAACCGGTCTCGGCATATTCTCTGATCATGAGCAAGTGCGAGATGGAGGTGTTTGCAACGGGGAACCAGCGATCTGCGACGAAATTGAAACACGTTCTCGTCGTTGAGACCTGGTTATGTGGTTGACGTCATTGTTGACAAGCAAGCAAACAAACGAGCGAACAAGACAAACAAACAAACGAGACAAACAAACGAACGAACGAGACAAACAAACGAACGAACGAGCGAACGAGACAAACAAACAAATGAAACAAACCACAAACCACCAGCCACCCAACAAACAGCAGCAACAAAACTAACATATTCAAAGAAAGTGATGAGCTGTTGTTCGTAGAATCGAACTCTCTTCAGACCCGGAAAGCCAGCGGAATACATCCACTCAATGGTGTCCCGGCTGATGACGTAACCTGTCGGGATGTCCACAATCACGTTCGTCATGCCAGCCGCTGGCGCCAAATCTGTACGAAGCCATCTGGAAAAGTTGAAATGACAATTTTGGATTTTTTAAAACTTATTTTTACTATTATTAATTAACCTGATGTGAACATATTTTATTTATTCAATCGACAAAATAAAATTCAAAATAATAAGAAATAAGAAATGACAAATAAAATAAAGTATAATAAAAAAAATAATATAATAATAATAAGAAGAAGAAGAAGAAGAAGAAGAAAAAGAAGAAGAAGAAGAAGAAAAGGAGGAGACAAAGAAGACAAAAAAATAGAAGAAGAAACTCATGATTTATTAATATTTCAATAATCTCGCATTTGAGATTATTAATTTCTTCGGTGACGTCATCCAAATGTTATCATCATCATCATCAGGGTGTTTATATCAAAAAAAACACCAAAAATTGAATAATATATCGAGACAAAAATACAAAAAATACAAAAAACAACTAATTCACGAAAAAAAAATTTTGTTTTCTCACTTGAAGCAAATGTTGAGCTCCATGTGACTGGCATTTCTGCCCCAAAATCTCTGCGAATCCAGTTCGAGGGAGAAGGATTCGAACTCAGGACCCACGGCTTCCACCTGGTAAGGCTTCTCAAAATGTATGAACGTGTCCATCTGGTGGCGATGGTGGTTGTTGGTGGTGGTAGTTGGTGATGATTGGTGTTGGTTGGTGGTGGTGGTTGGTTGGCGGTGGTTGTTGGTGTTTGTTGGTTGGTGGTGGTTGGTGATTAGATTCATTGGTAGCATTATCATTTTCATCTTATTTTCCTCATCGTCATCGTCCTCATCATCATCATCTCATTCACAGCATAATCATCATCATCAACATAGTCATCATCATCATCATCGTCACTGCGCTATTTATCACTTCTACTACTACAACCACCACCATCATCATCATCATCACCATTGTCAACATCACCATAACATCATAATTATCGCCATTATAACTATTCACGTTTTTTGGATAACAAAGAAATTGAAATAACGACAAACTCAAAAATAATAAACAGACAAAAAAACTAAACAAATTAAATGGTTATTAACAAAATGCAACAAAAAAAACCCAAAACAGAAAATAATAAATTGAATAAATAGATAAAATGAATAATAATAATAAAAAAAATGCGTTACATGAAATAAACTTGTTTAAAGAAAAAAAAATAAATAAAAATAATATAATGCAAACGCATACAGCCAGCATGGCATATCCCGTCCCAGACGCTCTCGTAAGAACTTGTCCATAAGCAGGAGTTAACTTTAAATAAAAATTAAATTATTAATTCGGAAAAATTTTTATTTTTTAACCAAACGAAACGAAACGAGATGAACCGAGACAAAATTTTATTCACTAACCAAATTCACAGTACTGACCAGAGTAAAATTTTAAAAATTTATAGGGTTCCTAAATCTTTCATTGTAATTTACGAAAAGTATTTTATTCACAACTTACCCTTTAATATATGTCAAAAGAATCAGCAACACACAAAAACACACACACGTGAAACACACAAAAACACAGTGAAACACACACACACACATTGCATGTGATGGGCGGGAATAACTTTACATCCGAACAATGCCGCTCTGATTGAGAAAAACATTATCCATACATTACATTCTCAACATTTTTTTTTTCATAATTTAATCCAAATTATAAGAAACTTTTAAAATAAAAGTCGTTAAAACAATAGAGTCTTGAATTTCGCTATGTGTTTCAAACGTTTTAATGAATTCTGGAGAAAAATAACCCCATCCAAATCATACGTGTCAGCCAGCCCCATCAGACTCTCACTAAATAACTACCTTGAATGAAAATAGATTGGCGAAGTTTGTTTTGTCGAGTTTGACTCTCTGAAACCAGGTTGCATTGGGGGAGATGCGGAAGTCAAGCTGGAGATTGTAGAAGGCCCTGTTCGTCTGTCTATATGAGAATTCTGTCATGGCTTCTAATGCTATTATCGTGTCCTGTAATGACGTCATGATGATGTCATCATCACATCATCATCACGGTCTCATGATGATGTGATGATGTAATGATGATGTCCTGACGATCTGATACATGATGCAAAAAGGTGAATTCCGAATCATCAAAATAATCGCCACCAATCAACACAACCACACAACACAGCCACACAACAACCACACACAAACACACAACGCGACCAAACAACACAACCATACAACAACCACACAACACAGCCACACAACACAGCCACACAACACAGCCACACAACAACCACACAACACAGCCACACAACAACCACACAACACAACACAGCAGCAAAAACGAACATGAGTAGAGGACCAGCCCATGAGCCTGTTGTGCTGGGATGCCACCCACTTCATGGTAGACACGGAATCTTCCTTGTGATTCCTGGCCAGCAAACCCAGCAGGGCATAGGATGTAGCCAGGACAGCATTACCGACATTCGGATGAAACTGCCTCTCGTACTGAAATTCTACGTTGTTTATGCGGTTTGTGGGGTTCGGGGCTATCTCTTTAGCAGCCCAGTAGTAGTAAACAGCTGCATTTGATGTCGGTTGGTTGGTTGGTTAGTTGGTAAGTTAGTTGTTTGGTCGGTTGATTGGTTAGTTGTTTGGTCGGTCAGTTGGTCGGTCGGTTGTTTGTAGAAATGATCAAACATAGAATGACTTAACAAAATTGATACCACAATAATCTGAATAAATAGTTCGTCTTCTCTGAGTCTATTTTTTTGGGAAATTTGAAACGAAACAAAAAAATTAAACAAAAAATCAACAGACATCTCCGGCGCATATTCATGAGAAGGTTGAAGGCAGTATCGGCCTGCCTGTTGTTGGAGACGAGCAGGGCGTACGAGGTGATAGCCATTTGGAAGGGGTCACTGATGACCGCCAGCTGGCTGGCCAAGTAGTTCGAACCGTCTGTTTTCGCGCGGTCCACTTTTTGTCTGGCGTTCTGTTGGCATTTTTAAGGAAAAAAAATATAACTGTTCAAAAACGTGCAAAAGTTGAATTTGATGAAATGTTAAAAGGGCAACATCACTCTAAAAATAACTTTCATCATTCTAAAAATAGCTCTTATTCCTCTAAAAATAACTTTCATCACTCTAAAAATAACTTTCATCACTCTAAAGATAACTCTCATCACTCTAAAAATAACTTTTATTGAACTAAAAATAACTTTCCTGAAACTAAAAATAACTTTCACAGACTAGAAATAACTTTCCTAACTAACCCCAGTCAACCGTACGGCAGACGATAGGGCGATGACCACATGTGCGGTCAGTGGTATGTGCAGCATTAACGTCTCGTTGGTCAGTTTGCTCACTGTGTAAGGCTGTTAATTTATAATCAATTTAATTTATCAAATTTTAAACTAAATAAACAACATTAAGGATAAACCCTCAAACTGAAGCAAATTTTAAACAGGTAAAAAGCCATCATACGGAAAAGCTTCGATCATGAATGACGTCAGATGTTTCAGGGAAGGATCCGTTGGGAGCCTGCTGGGAGGCCAACCAGTTCCCGATCCTATTCAAGATGTCTACATCGACATAGATGATCTCGGCCCAGGTGCTCGTAAGGGCGGCGTGTAAATACTTCAATGCCATGGCCGTCAATCTATCCATGTGCATTTTTTCGTATATCGTATCGTATCGTATCGTATCATGTTATATTATATTATATTATACTGTATTACATTGTATTATATTATACTAAACCGCACACACAAACACACACACACCTACACACCCACAGACAGACAGACACACACACGCACAAACATACACACGCATTTACAAACTGACTTAACGGAAGGCTTTCCGGATCTCCTGAACATCCTGAACTCTCCATCACTTCCCATGTAGGCATACTGTCTGGCTAGAACTGTTCCAGGTTGAATTTATTTGAATAGCTCAATTGGATAGCCAGACAAGCCAAATAACCAATCAACCAACCAACAAGCCAACCAACTAACCAACCATTCAACGAGCCACCATCCAACCAGCCAACCAACCAAACAACCAGCCAACCAACCAACTATCCAAACAACCAGCCAACCAACCAATCAGCCAAACAACCAGCCAACCAGCCAACCAACCAAACAACCAGCCAACCAACCAAACAACCAAACAACCAGCCAACCAACCCACCAACCAAACAACCAACTCACCGACTTGCATGTACTGCAAAACCTCCTCCAACGTATCAGACTCAAGCAAACTGAGTGTTTGCAGATAGTTTAGTGTTTGTAGATTGACGGCAAAATCAAACAAGTAACCCTCGCCCGAGTCATGGTACTGGTGCACTGTGTTCATGGCTGTCAAGTGGGAATCAAAAAATCCAGGAGATACCATATCACCTGCAAGAAAACGAACAACTTTTCTACTAATTTTCCAAATTTTTCCATCGTCTTGCGACTCATTCACTCAATCCATTGATCCCTTTATAAACGATATGTCTATAATTCGAATGAACACACACACACATACACACACGCACACAACTAAACAAACACACACTCACAGACACATCCACACTCATCCACACACACACATACACACGCACACAAACAAACAAACACACACTCACAGACACATCCACACTCATCCACACACACACATACACACACAAACAAACAAACACAAACTCACACACACATCCACACTCATCCACACACACACATACACACACGCACACAAACAAACAAACACACACTCACAGACACATTCACACTCATCCACACTCACACATACACACGTACACAAACAAACAAACACACACTCACACACACATCCACACTCATTCACACACACACATACACACGCACACAAACAAACAAACACACACACACACCGTAAACGTAGAGGGTGGCGTCATTGGAATATGGAATGTAGTAGAGATCTCTGGCGCCAGGATCGACAAACCTCTCAGATATGTTGACCTTGAGGTCAGGAATGACCAGTGAACCTGAGTTCACGAGGTCAACGACGTAGGGCGTGTGACGAACGCGACCAACCACACCATCATACTGGATTAAGAGATAATTTTTGAAAAATTTTATTAAAAAAATATAATAGCTCTCAAATGATATTTAAAAATGATCAACAAACAGAAGAAATAAAAATGGCAGGATGAAATAACGCCACAATACTAAGAATGGTTGAAAAAACGAAAAAAAACAACTTATAATAATGAAAAATATATATGAAAAGTAACAACTACACAAACATCATTCCATCAGTAACATACGCACCAGCCACACACCAAAAACACGCAGGCCACACACCAAATACAAACCAGCCACACACCAAAAACACAACAGCCACACATCAAAAACACACCAGACCAGCCACACACCAAAAACACACCAGCCACACACCAGAAACACACCAGAAACACACCAAAATCACACCAAAAACACACCAAATACAAACCAGCCACACACCAGCCACACCGGAAAACACACCGGATAGATATTGCTACACTAAATAACAACCACTTAGACATTAATTAAGACCAAAATAGTAAAAAGTTACTTCTACCAAGTAACAAATCTTTCGCCAGTACTAACACTAATCTTGATATTAACATCCTCTTCGTCAATCCTCTGACTGCTGTAAGTACTAATTCTAACAGTTATCTCGCCTTTGGGTATGGTAGCGACGATGGGGAACATTTGATATGTGGATACCTGGTTGCCTTTTATCTGTTGTGTGTGTGTGTGTGTGTGTGTGGTTTTGTGTCAGTGTGTGACATGGTGTGTGTGTGTGGGGGGGGGTTTTGTGTCAGTATGTGACGTGTGTGTGTGTGTGTGTGTGTGTTTGTGCGTGGTTTTGTATCAGTATGTGATTTATGTGTGTGTGTGTGTGTGTGTGTGGTTTTGTATAACTATGTGTGTGTGTGCGTGTGTGTGTGTGGGGTTTTGTGTCAGTATGTGATGTGTGTGTGTTGTGTGTGTGTGTGTGTGTGGTTTTGTATCAGTATGTGTGTGTGAAAGTGTGTATGTGTGTGATTGTTTGGTTACACTTTTGTTTATAATTTTGATCATTCCCCATATATGATATAATAATCAAATCAAATCTTATTTCGTAAAACCCATTTAAATTTAAGGTAATCCCATTTGATCCCAAGTTATATCTTGTAATCTTTGGTAATCTCACAAAATCTCGTGTTAATCCCGCAAAATCCCGTGTTAACCCCACAAAATCTCGTGTTAATCCCACAAAATCTCGTGTTAATCCCACAAAATCCCATTCGATCCCACTTACGGAAACCATGGTCTGCACATCACCTCTGATGGTTCTTGGACTGTATGAAACGACGTAGCCGAAGTCCTCCACTACGATAAATCGGTAGTCGTCATCTCCGTGCAGTAGGATTAGGATCTAGGATTTTTTGGATTGGGATTTGGGATTTGTGTGGTTGTTGTTTTTATTATTGTTGGTTGTTATTATTGTTGGTTGTTATTATTGTTGGTTGTTATTATTGTTGGTTGTTGTTGTTGTTACTGTGTGATATTTTCGCGATTGTTAGGTAGATAACGTACGTGGTGTGTGTGTGTGTGTGCGTGTGTGTGTATGTGTGTTGTGTGAACGAAATAAATGAAAAAATTGTCAAAAAACTAATTTACTTTAATTATTTCATCATCAAAGGGTCAAAACAATAGGGGGTAAAAAAATTTGCGGCCCTAACCTCGAGGTCCTGGTCCCAATAGTTATAGATGTCCAACCTGAGTCCCACCTGTTCACCCCTTCTGATCTTTTCAGGGTTCTCAATGGTCACAAAGAATATTCGAGTTGTGTCGTGCTGTGATGGGGATTGTTTGACAAAAAATATATTTTTCTAGAATTATCCCTAAATATTATTTTTAAATTATTTGGCTTCTTTTTAATTAATATTTGATAATACACTCCTTAATATTTTCTTAGCACTTGTTAAACAAGTCTGTAACGAGCAGAATAACAATTTAAACACACAAAATAATAAAATAATAATTGAAATAATATAAAATATAACAAATGAAACCGACCAAAATGTACTCCTGAGCAATGGAAAAGCCCTGATCCGGGTGCATGAAGAACGCCCCCATGACCAACGGGTCCATCAACTCCTCTTGTTCTATCTTTATCTCACCCTGTCCTACTTGCCTGTGGAAACATTTTGGAAAATTTTTTTTCACAGGTATCAACGACAAACATACGAAGCACTCCAATCGCATGAGTAATGTCACCACACACATCGCATGCGAGAGACGGAGATCTTTATGCATTTGAACCCGGTCACTACGACATCGTGCCGTTCGTAAAGTTTTTGATGAAATATAAACAATGCTAAGCGTTAAAATAGTGAATATTATTTGTGGAATAAACTGAAAACTTATTACTTTTTTTAAATTAACTAAAAATTTACAAGATTTTTGCCAACGAAAAAATGAAATTAGAAAAATTTGAACTTCAGGCAAACAAACAAAACAACAACTACATCGAAAACGGAATGCCATATTACTTGATGTAGGTACTTTTCCAAAACGGAAGCCAGGTGTCCTGGTACCTGCTGTTCCAGAACAATGAATCCAACTCGATGGGTCTTGGCACATACATTTCCTCGGGTGTCGGGTTGCCTTAGGAAGTTAATCGCGGTTATAATCTTCAATTTATCCAAAAGTAATATAATCTCACGTTAATGTCGTTCAATGTAAATTGATTTCAAAATAAATCAAGCGAGTTAGTCGTTACTTAATTAGAAACAATATTTCGGAATCGCCAGTGAAAGTGAACAATTGTAACTGTGCATTTATCTGGAACTAAAAATAATACCAAGACATTGAAAAAAATATTTAGAAAAAAAACCCAGATACTAACAAGCAACTTCATCAAAGCCATCAGAACAATGGACAACACCATCACAGGCCGTCTTCAGCTCGTAACACTGACCAGAAAGCGGACAGATGCCCAAGCCCAGCGAGCGATTGCACGGCGAGAAATCTTTACGAAATAAAAACTTTAAAAATATAATAGATCCATTTTTGTTCTATTACAAACAACTTGCTAAGATAATTTTGAAAAACGTCTTTTAATCCTTTTTTATCCAAAAAAGTTAATTTCTTTAAAGATAAACTGGGTTTTAAGTAAGAGATTCGTTCCGACTGACAGGTATATAACAATTTTTAAAAAACTTACAACAATCCCAACCAATTTTTTCCATCATTCAATTAAAAAATCATCTTAATGACAAAAATTTTCAGTCGGAGTTAAGGTAAAACACAAACATCCAACACCCAGAGCCAGTCACCAATTTTGTCAAAAAACGGTTCACATTATCATTAGACACTGTTTGAAAGTAACCCAAAAACTGGAAGGCAGAAGCAAAATCATTCACGAAAACTTTTTAAAAAGCTCAAAATAAAGTTAGAAGAAAATCATTTAAAATAGAAATCAGAAAAAGACAAAAGAAAAGACAGTCTAGAAATAATGGAGACAATGAAGCAAACAGTAAGAAAAACTAACCTTGTCTTATCGTAATGTTGGCATCGCTCATCACAATCAGACCTGCTGCCTACATGAAAATCATAAAAATCTTTGAATTGAATATAGAAATGTTCGAAAAATTGAATTGATTAGAAATACTTGAAAAAAAATTATGAATTCATCAACGAAATCAAAGTAGTATAATTAATATTCATCACTATATAAACCTTTTTTTACTATTTTCATTCCAATCGTAACTATCTTTATAAAAATCAACAAATTGTTAAGCAAACTGTTCATATGTTATTACCGTTACATTATTCAACAGTTCATCATATAGCTAATTAAACACACAGGAAAAAATGTCATGGCATTTTAAGTACAATAAATAGAAATATAACACTATAAAAGTCTTTATAAGAAGAAGAAAATGTCATTTTAAGTATGAAAAAATTTCGATTATATACAATGAGATGGTATTGTGTATGTATAAATAACAAAACGCAATTATAAGTACATTAAATAAGTTTTATGTGTACATTAAAATGGTTTTTAGAAGTACCATAAAATGGCTTTTAGTAGAACCATTAGATGGTTTTTAGTAGTACCATAAAATGGTGTTAATAGTACCATAAAATGGTTTTTAGTAGTACCATAAAATAGTGTTAGTATGCCATAGGACAGAGTTATAAGTACAACCAAAAAAGTGAAACAAGTGCAACCAAAAATGACTTACAAATTATAAATATAAATATAATTATTCATTAATTATAAATTATAATTATTTATTAAGTTATTAAATTATAATTAAATTTTAAATTAAATTAAAAATATAAATTCAACTTACAAACGAAGTAGTGTTGGTGTCCATGCCAGTATCCTGTGTAGGAAAAAAGACAGTCTTCTCCCAGTACCAATCGTTCATGCTCCACGTAAACTGGTAGGGGCTGGCTGCTATTGAATCGTACTTCATTAACTCGTGTAAGACCTGGAAGGCAGTCGTGCAGTTGTCGTCGTCGTTGTCGTCGTTGTTGTTGTAGTAGTGGTAGTAGTTGTAGTAGCAGTTGTAGTGGTAGTAGTAGCAGCATTAGTAGTAGTAGTAGTAGTAGTAGTAGTGGTAGTAGTAGTAGTAGTAGTAGTAGTGTAGTAGCAGTAGTAGTAGCAAAATTAGTAGCAGTAGTAATAGTAACATTAGTAAAATAGTAGTAGTAGTAGTAGTAGTTGTAGTAGTAAAAGTAGTAGTAGTAGTAGTAGTAACAGTAATAGTAGCAATAACAGCATTAGTAGTAGTAGTAGTAGTAGTAGTAGTAGTAGTAGTAGTTGTAGTAGTAGTAGTAGTAGTAGTATAGTAGTAGTAGTTGTTGTTGTAGTAGTAGTAGTACCAGTAGTACCAGTAGTAGTAGCAGTAGGAGTAGTGGTAGTAGTAGTAGTAAAAATAGTAACATTAATCCCAAATAATTAATAAATAAAACCCCAAAATAAGAACTAAACTTAACAAGAATTTAAACCAATGAAAGGAAAAAATTTCCAAAAAAGGGTACCTGCTGTTCTGTGATAAAGGGTAAGGCCCCCCTAAGTGAGAATTCATAATCCACGGCATTCATGAATACGTAACCGCCTGGCGGTCCCTTAGCTACAATTTCAATCGTATCCCTCGTGAAGTCTTTGCCGTAGTTCAAAATTATTTCTGGCTGTGTGCGTGTGTGTGTGTGTGTGTGTGTGTGTGAGTGAGTGTCTGTGTGTTTGTGTGTGTTTTAAAGTCATTATTTAATAATTTTTCTTCTTTCTGGGTTGATTTGATTTAAATTGTAATTCGGGCTACTGGTAGTTAAAGTCGTTTAGTCATTAATTGTCACGATAATAAGTTTAATTTCAATTTAATTCCCAATTCCAATTTTAGTTTATTCTACTAGTAAAATAATGAGAGATTAAAAAACTAACCGGAAATATAATCAAAAAATTAATAAGTTCAACTAATAAATTAATTATTCAACCCACATACCACACGCTCACACACACACACAAACACACACACGCACATGCACGCGCACGCACACACAAAAGAATCACCTGTTTAAGCCTAGAATCCTTGATGAAAAAAGTTAGGGAATCCATGACAACCTCGCCTTCTACGATGCAGTAGGCCACAATACGAGCCGACGGTGCCATCTTGCGGGAGAGAGCCACCGAGAATGTCTTCTGTTTGGAGTTCATGATCAGCTTGCTGCCAAGTAGGATATTTCCGCCTGCACTTATCTGCGTGGATTTGTTGGAAGAATCATTATAATTGAGATTTTTTTTTATTTTGTACCTTTACTCATACTAAATAAACGAATTACATTATACAAATACCACATAAATACACTCGTGTATTTATGTGGTATTGTGTTAGTTATATAACAAGAAACTCTGCGACAACTACAGCCGCAACTAAAACTACAACTACAGCCACAATTGCAGCCACAACTACAGCCACAACAACATACCAGATAGTTGATTTCAGGTGTGTAAAAGTTGACTCTCAATGTGAAGGTCATGTAGGATTCAGTCTGTTTATAACGCGAGTACGTGTGTGTTGTGTGTATGTGTGTACCTGTGTGTGTGTGTGTGTGTGTGTGTGTGTGTTGCGTGTGTGTGTACGTATGTGTTGCGTGTGTGTTGCCTGTACGAATGTGTTATGTGTGTACCAATTTATTGTGATTTAGCATTTTTTTAAACTTTTGTTGAAAAATAATTAGTAATTGCGAAATTATTATTATACATTAACCGCGAATTAGTTATATACGAGTTTAAAAAGTAGTTACAAAAAGTAGGAAACTTGACGTAGAAATGTTTAATGTGACTCATACGCACGCTAATTGTGAAAT